ATTTTGGTGCACTTTTTTTCTCTATATAATGTTGATATAGTAACTAGTAAATGCTGTAAATTTGGTTATGCTAGCATGTGAGGAAATATTTAAACCACATGTGTTACTTTGTGCCCCGCGCTCCCCTACTTTCTTTCCATTTCTCCTTAAATAGCTTGTCCGCCCTTCCAGGTCAAATTTCTTCTTTTGGACATGTTTAAAATCACCATAAAATTGCCACACAAGCATCAGTTACAATGCAGCTATCATCATATTATCCTCGTGCTGCTCGAGATTTTGGCGCCGCTTTAAAATGCGCATGTTAGGTGTCCCGAATCCCGGGGCGTAATATCAACGTAAATAAATTAGCCATTTGTTCCGCTTTAAATTCAAAGTAAAATATTGTAGCGAATACACTATTTAATTTTCAAAATTATGTTTTATTTGTTATTTTATAATATTGTTTAAATCATCCTGCGGGCCAGATTGGACACCTCTGTGGGCCGTGTTCGGCCCGCGGGCCGTATGTTTGACACCCCTGCTATATATGTTTATATACTGAAAGAAGTCTCTTATGCTTAGGGCTGTGCAATTAATCAAATTTTAGTTTGGATTTTGATTTTGGCTTCCAACGATTACGTAAGGAATAACTGATAACAGACCACTGAATTACTGAAAAATAATGGACACCCGGTACCGATGTGGTAATGCAGTCACGACGCAAAGTGAAACAAGGTCTTAAATCCACAGAGAAGCAAAGTATAATTATAATGACACCTAAAAAGTCAAATACACACATAAAATGTAACAAAATGCCTGTGTTGGCAAGTATTCACATAAACACTGGCAGTTGTGTCTTAAGTGAACATAAACAGATGAGAAAGAAATCAGATGTGTGTCAGTATATTGGATCTGCACATTCGGTCTTAAAGTGACAGCAGCCTAATACATCTGCTGCAGTCCGTGTCAAGAAACAGCAAAAACAATCACTGTTCTTGATTGAATAACTTCAATAGCTTTAATAAGAATCAATATATAATTCATACAGTGAAGACTACGCCGTGGTTTTTTTTGTTGTTGTTACATTTGATTATTTTATTTAATTTGTTTATAGTAGGCCATTGGCAGAACAGAATAGCTGGATTTTTTCTTTTTTTATAGAAAATAATCAAAACAATCCAAGGTTTTTATTTAGTACAGTACCTAGATTAGCAAATAATCAGATGTCACCCTAAATGAATATTGAACCTTTGACAATGTCTTATAATTCAGCCCCAACTATCATTCCTAAACAAAAATTTCAGTGCTTAACTACAGTATAGGTCAGGAAAAGCTAAATAAACTTATCACTGCATCTAAACCAGGGATGGGTAACTGGCAGTGTCTTTTAGTATGGCCCGCTGGATCTTATCAGACTCGGATAATCAGCTTTAAAACCGTTTCAGACGGAAATACATCACTACACTGAAATAAAGTCAGCAGCAATTTCCGGTTCACGCGGTCTTTAAAGTATGTACTCTTTTGGTAAATAACAAGTACTTACTTTTAAGTATGTAGTAGAAGAGTAGGCAGGCTTTGGGACATACTATCACGTCATACAATTGCATCTTTAATGGACCACTCTGTTGCATAGTTACACGCACCCCGTCACTGTCAACTGGCTGACACAGTGTTGCTTTCGTCAACGAAAATTATGACTAAATATCGTCATCAACGAACCTTTATCACGTGACGAAAACGAGATGAGACGCAACGTAAATGCTGGTCATGTGACGATGACTATAATTAAATGTATAATGCAATATTGTTGATGAATAAAATCGAGACTAAATATGGTTTACTAAATAAAAACTATGCTAAAATGTCTCTTCATTTTCATTGACCAAAATGAGACTAAACAAAATGTTATAACGTTATTTCGTCTCGTTTAGTCGCGTTATTATTTTTATTATTATTATTATTTCGCAGTATTTCTGTTTCCGGTGTCTGCACACTGCGCAGACGCAGGCAACGTCACTTCCTCAAGCCCCACTCGCGGCATTATTTAGAACAGTGTTTCCCAACCGGGGTGCCGCGTCTGTCGAGAGCAGGGGCGGTGTAAAAAAATCATTTTTTAATATTTTTAAATTGCTAAAATGTTCAAAAAAAGCAGCTATTATATAATATCCATTTCTAATGTCGCCAATAATTAGAGATGCACTGAAATTCCGGCTGCCGAAAATTTGCTCACTGCTCAGGATTTACTTTCACGTGGTGTGACGCTCTACGTATTATCCCGCTCTATGCGTGTGTGTGCTCCGCTCAGTCGCTCACGGCCCATGTGAGTGCTCCACTCATATACTGTTCATGCTCATCGGAACAGCAAAGTCCACTCAAAAATCAAGCTGACAGGAAACATCTACAGTATGTGGTACAGTATTGTTTCTGTCTGCAATAGCCCTACGGTGTGGTATATGGGCAACTCTGGTAACGCTGCCCTCTCATTCATTGATCTGCTAACCGTTATGCTCATGTGTCCTCTGATAATAATAACTTTCTAGGATTAAACATTATTTGGATAATTGGTAAAAAAAAAAAAAAAAATCTTAATAGCCCTACTGTGTGTTAGACCTACCCGAAAAACTAAAAAGCAATCCATTTCATTCATCGTGATTTTTTTTTATTTGTGCAATCATTCGTAATTTCTTTATTTGTTCTTATTTTATTATTAACTGCTTAGCCTCCTTGT